TCGCCCACTGCTTACAGAAAAACGTTTTGCGTTTTGGTTTGGTCTGCAATTATCCGTTCATTTGGAACTGTTAAGCCGGAAACAAGTGCTTGGAATAAGAGCTTTTCTTCAAGCAAAGCTTGTAAGCACGTGCTCCAGATACAGCAAAGATTTCACTGTGCATTCTCTGCAAATGGTTTTAGAGTCCTCGGATATGAAGGTACGAACTGTACTCAAATTTTTTTTGTATTTTTTGTACACGTACGTGCAAAGTTTATTAGAAAATGTTAGTCAACAATTAACGCTAGTCAAGTGTTAGTTATTTCTTGTGTTATAGTTTTCCTCACAGTAGTTAGGGTTTTGTTAAGTTAACTTCAGACGGACATTTCTGCCCCGGTCAGTTCGTCTCAAATTCTTTAGTATTTGTTGGCTTTATTTGTCATACGCGCTCAGAATCGGTTCTTATTCTTAACATGAAGGTCATTCATCGTAAAGCTATCAATAGAATATTGGTAACATTGAATTGTAACGAGCCTCTATTAAATTTAATACTACCGAATGATGTCAGCGTGTCGACTGTTCTTATGTAATAAACAATAAAGTGTTGTGATGTTTTTATTGTCAAAAAGTCAGATGCGATTTCTCTGACCTCTCCTCTGCAAGACGAAAAAGATTGCATGCGAATCCCTTCATGCTGACAGTGCAGGTGAGAACAACAAAGTGCAAATTATTCGCCTAATTGTTATTTTGTATTTTTTTTTTTTTTATTTCCAGGAAAAGAGAGAAAGATGAAACGGAGATATTATTGGAAACATCCACGACAAGATCTCTTCAGGTAGACTTTAGATTTCCTGTTCCATCATCAGAATTTCAATTCTCCGCTCTGATTTCTATACATATCTTTTTATGCCAGTTTTGAGATTTTGATGGGAGTATCAAAAGACGTTTTACAGATTAAATGCCTGTTCTTTGTTTGACAAGCTATTGGTGTCTTGATACGGACAAATCGGACCTTGATCAGGTCGTAATATAAACAAAAGACTTTAAGTTAAGTGGTGCGGTCAAGGAATGGCTTCTTTTTAAACCAAAATCATGCTAGTCTTAGTTGACCAGTCAGAACACGCTTTAAGGTGGCTCAGAGCCGTTTCCAGCACTTTCCAAGACTATAAGGTCCATTATAACCACTCTTTATCACTTAATGCTACGCTCATGGTATCAAAAAACCGCCCAGTCATTAGTGAACACGTTGTTATCATTTTCGTGACTCGGTAGGTTATCGTAGCAACAGTATGACCAGCTGAAAACACCCTTAATTACAGCTTTAAGGGCTTATAATTCAAAAATGGCGGGGAAAAACTTTTTTATATATTATCAAATCTTGATTAGCAGGATAAGACGCAACTTTTGGTAAAGTTTTTAAAAAAATCTGTACATGGGGTTCAGAGCCACATTAAAGTTCTGAAAATTTGCGACTCGAAATAACGTTGTATTCGGGGTGTTTCTCTTAACTGGGAGATATGCATATTGTTTGTTTTTTGAAAGGATGTCATTACGTACGTTGCTTATGTATTCTCTATAGATTGGTGGTGCTGCGCTGAGTCGCCTGATGAATTATATGATGTGAAGACTGCAGGAAGACCAGAACATGTTTTGCTGAAAGGCATATAAATATTGGTGAGTAAGTTCACGGTTTTTTTGTGTGTGTGTGTAATTTATACAGTAGAACGGTTATATCACCCATAACCAGAGGACTGTGAACTGAATCAGCTGACGTGGTTTTTTCCTCGTAGCGTTTCATTCTCCTAATTGTGAATGCATGTGAATCATTGTTCATTTATTTACCGGTGATGGGAAATTGTCGCCAGAAACAAACTCCTTCCAATTACCATGTACTCACATTGCGGCCAAAATAATACCCAAACAAACAAACAAGCAAGGAACAACACCCTTATTTCCCACTTGGAAAGATTTCTAACAAAAATGTAAAACTAATTTGTGCAGCAAATTAATTCTAATTCTGTATTAACAGCCAGCTTTTATTCGTCTTGAATAACATTATCGCTCATTTATTGCCAAATATCAGAGTAAGATGTCTGTATATCATTATACTTAATTGTGCATACGAGTTCTTTTACACCCTCCTTCACCAACAGATAGAGCGAGACTCCCAAATTATATTCTCTATTTTCCAATTCCCCATAATTCACTCTGTTTTCCCCCAAACATTTTGCACAAACTATCGCTGCGAAATGCTCTTGGGAATTTGCAGACCTCCTAAGAGCATTTCACAACAACAGTTTATGGAAAATTTTGAGCGCAAACAGTTTGAAATATGGGGAATTGGAAAATAGAGAATGCATAATTACGTATAGGGTTATACGGAAGTTTTGTTAGATCATTACCTTCGAGAAGCGTTGTCCAAAATTTCTGTGCAAAAATCAAAACCTTGTTGCAATTTTCGTTGACGTGAAATCTGCTAAGGACGCTGCAGTCAAGATTGGTCGACCTTGAATGACCTTCAGTAGGCTTTGTTCACAATAGCCGCCATTTTGGTTTCACTTTATTATGCAAATTAATTAACATTCGATTTTCGTTGGGCAAAACAATCCGGTATTGAATTTATTTCGAAATTTCAACTTGTTTGTTCCCTTTCAAATTAAGATTTTCAGGCTCCTTTAAGATAATAAATTTAAAGATGCTTTTGCCAGATTGTAAGCCAGCTTTCGTTAACTGTTCGTAATTACTCGTTGTCCGGTTTTGTAAATACCGAGGTGCTTATTGATTTGGACAAGCTGATTTTCCAGCCTTTGTTAGCAAACCCAAACCCACTTTAATTTGCAGCTATCGTGAACGCGGTGTACAAACTTAAGTATTTTCACTCGAGCCGTTTACAGAAAATCATTTTCGATATTATTTTGTTACTAAATTTTATTGTTATAACTCCCATCTTAACATTTTTTTCTTATTTGAACAATGCAGTACTTAAAGAATACACAGGTAATTAATTGCTGACTTGAATATTCTCTATTTTGCGTTACAGTTGCTCAGCTGCGGGCTAGATTCTCATGGATGACGTTGATTCTTTTGGATTGTCAGGGAAGCTCTTGGACTCCTTTGGATTTTCGTGGACGATAGATGCCTGTTAACATGAAGTGGATTACGAATCATGCTCGTATGGTGTCTCGTCTCAGAACGACGTTAGGTAAAGAGCAATTGTTTTCACTGCAACTGTTTGTAAAACATTTGAGACTTTCAGTTTCCAAGAAATTCAGTTTCTAAAAAGAATATCACAACGTTGAGGCCAAAAGTGGCCTGATAATCTTGAGTAATGTCTTGATTTGTCACCAATTTCTCAGAAGTGACAAAGAAATGTATGAATCTAGAAAGGAACTTTTTCAGAATTGGGTTTTTGGGGTTGGACCAAAAGGATGCTTGAGAATTACATAGAACCGGACCCATGTTATTGAGGTAGAAATTAATTTACGTTTGTCGACTTTGCAATTAAATTGGAATCTTTTAGTGGCAGAATCGACGTCAAATGTTTTGAAAATCTCGCCTTAGTCTAGTTTCTTATCAAATTACTTATCGAGCGAAATATATTTTAACTGGAATCTCAAAAAAGTTATGAAATTTTAGCGTTGTAGAGACTGCTACTAAATTCCAAGTAATACGGGCAGTATTTTCCTTGTAACTTGTCTCGCAGCAATATTGTGCTGTACGTTGACAAGTGTGTTGCCTGTATTACCGCCTGTGTTGTATATTACAGCAATATGTTGCACTGAGGAGAACTCGCCGAGTGTCTTCTTCGCGTGACATGTTACCGCAACTTGCAACACAGCTGGTAATACGCGTGACAACGCTCTTCGACTTACAACGCGGTATTATTGTGAGACAAGTTGCAAGGAAAATTTTACAGCAGATTTCCAGTTACAAATTACATTTTGACGGGCTTAATATAACATTTTACAATTTTATCTTAAATAACACTAGTCTAATTCTGTTTATGCGTTGGAAGTTTTCCAACTTTTGGAGTTTAATTTCGTTTTAAACCGATTCTAGTTTTAGAAAGCCATCGGCCAGTCTTAAATTTTCTGCGAAACATTGTTTTTCATACTTAGCTCCGAGTAAGCTATTTTTTTGTTCGTTGATAAGTTTTGGGCGCAATTTTATTTTGAATTGATATGTACTTATAGTGGATATTAGTTTAAGCGGAGAGATTTTTGCTAAGAATATATTTCGTATACAATGTTGTTCAACACTATTTTTTATTTACGATGAGGATGTCTTGTACTTAGTTTTGATAATGCAATATCTTGTAAACACACTTGAGTTGTTTTAATATTTGTTATTGAGCTTTGTAATTAAAGACTTGTCATACCTGAAATGTTGTAAACTATTGTTATAACTTTTATATCAATCAACACTTTATTCGGTGGAAGAAATAAAGAAACCATTGTTATCAACAAATGAGTCTTGCTTCATTTGAAACTAATAAATAAAAACAATGAAAATAAGAAACAAAATATTGCGCTTTTAAAAGAGGCCCGGAAACTAGTAGAAATGTAGGCTATCTCTTTTACTATTTTTTGACTATGTAGGGCTGCCTACGCGGAAAAACGTTCTGCACAGGGTCTAGTAACAAGTCAAAATAAAGGCTGGCTTTTGATGGGCTAAATCTGACTGCAAACTGCACAGATTTTTCCCGCCGAAAGACTTAGTTTATATTTGACAAATTTCTAGACCCCATTTAAAAGCGCAGACTTTTTTCCCGCCAAAAGACTTAGTTTATTTTTGAAAGATATCTAGGCGCCGTTTAAAAGCGCACACTATTTTCCCGCCAAAAGACCTAGTTTTCTTTCGTCTACGAAAGCTTCGTCTAAACTCGCAGACTTCTTCCGGCCAAAAGACTTAGACTTTTTTTTTGACAACGAAAGCTCTGAAAGCGCAAGAAGCTATAGCATTTTTTGAAAACAACTTGACCCCATTTAAAAGCGCGTCTTTCGAGCTTAAAGACTCGTACATAGAGCTTTCACATTCTTTATTAACTATCTTTGCGTGGATACGCATAGGAAAATTCAACGCAGAGAGCTTGTGCCTTCGCTATGTAGCATCTTCAGTGGTGATTCAACAGAGTGATGGCATTCTTTCACTGATGAAAAAAGAAGAACAACATATTAGTGTTATCGAAATTAGTCAACCTGAATACTAAATAATTATAACGCTGTTGTAGACTAAAACGTAAAACTCAACTGAAAATTGATGCTCGGATGACAAACATTAAAATCTTGAAGAAGAATTTTACTCCAAACATCAAGGAAACAATACAACTTCGTAAGAAGGTTAGACAGATCTTATATCCACTTTAAGCCTATAAAGCTTAACTATTCTGGCGCTGTGTAACAAGTCAAGACTAGTAATATATCACTAAATGTATTTTTATCTAAAAACTTATGAGAATATCCAAATTAATTCCAGTTATAGACGAGATATTGAAGTGAAGCGACTAAATAAGAAGGTACATGACAAAAGGTGGCTTTCCAGTGAAGGTAAACGCATAATTGTGAACTAACAGCCAACAAGACAACTGCTGAAGATTACTAATGTAGAAACAAAATATTTCGTCACGCTTTGGCTTAGATTTTAACCTCGACAGAATAACATTATTTCGTGAACTAGTTGGGCTTGTAGGACATGTATAACTAAGAATAGACACAACATTTTGAATAAAAACGTACGTGCGAAATTCAAACACACTCAAAGTTTGCATTTTCAGTACTTAATTTTTCAACTTTTTTTTTCCTTAAAGTATTTTATGTGCATCGTACCATGGAACGACAAGAAAAGTTAAAATACTCGCAGAGGATTTGAAAGTTGCTAAAGAAGACAATAAGTTTTCAAAGGTACAGCCTCGAGGTGTAAAACTATAATGCAGATCAGATGGTGTCAAAATGCTCGTGGAAGAAAGAGCAAAGTTCACGTTCGAATTTAAATGATGGAATGGAGAAAAAGATTGCAATTTTAAACGTCATTCTCTAATATGTTCCCTGAAATTTTCATCATAAATCCATTATTTCGGGCAAGAAAATTTCTCCATTATTGCGAGGAGACGCGATTTTTGCAAAGGAAATTAAAACAGCTTGTACCTCAATTCTACGACAATTATTCCAGTTTTTCATGTTTGTTATTGTTGCATTATATTATGTTACTCTTCACTCCTTAAAGGCAGACGATTTCCAAAATCAGCTTATTCTCCAAAGGGAAATATCATTAAAAATGAGTAAACTAAATGGCTACATTACAATCGCCCTATTTTGACGGATAAATGGAGAGTTTACTACAAGAGGTTAAACGCTTATTGACACGAAATGAAATTGAACTCCAGGTTCTGAACAAAATTGTAATCATAAACGTTTTTTTAAAGTTTCGAGCGATGGCTATGGTATTAAGTTAACTCGTTCCCTGCGTCCGACCTTCTTGCATTTATTCCAGAGAATGAATGCAAGAAATTGATGCCAGCAGTGGATGCAAATGTCATGTGTTCAACTTGACTACTTTATTCATTGTTAGTTAACTTTATTTGTAACTTTATTCAGCTTTGTATTTTTATTTTGATAGATAGGCTTTCATCTTGTAAATAATTATAATGTTTAAAAATTTAATTTGTACACAGTTCTGATAATTGTAACTCGATTTGGGTGTCCTCAATTAGCAGCAATGCTAAATCAACGTGAGCAACGTACACAGCAACTTTGAAAGTGACCAAAATCACGAGGCTAGATATAAAGAAAAAGACATTTTTTTCAAATTTAAATTAACAGATGAAATTAATGACGTTTCGGTATTACTGCCTTTTTTCAGGGTTAAAACTTTCCACAGTTCAGTTCGTTGTTTGCAATTGTGTACAAACTACTCGCGCGTGCCAGGATGTGCATGCGCTCGAACGCGTTGGTCAACAGAAATCCAAATTCACGATTGATCCCGGGAGGGGCAAGTGAACAGAAGCTGTGTAAACATGTCGCATCTCCTCGCACTATCATAGATCTCTCCGAGTCAAACCCGTCTTCATCACTACAACCAGTAAATCTCCAAGTAAATGACGTGCTACTAACATGCTGTGCCACAGACAGGGTCCGTCTTGCTGTGCAGAATGTCGAGGGAATGTTCCTTGAAGCGATCAGTCAATCTTATCTCTATATCACTGATGTAAACCACTTCAAGGCATAACGAATTGAAATGGGAAAGTTTTTTAACCTTTGAAGAAGACGTCATGCCGAAAACATTCTTTGTCTATCAACTCGAATGGAAAGTCAACCATTCTTTATCTTGTTTTTTAAACTCTGACCAATAATTCTCCACCACATAATTTAGTTATATTCCAATAGACCATTTTACAGTTGTCTGCTCAGTGACCTGGCCTTTGTATGGCAGCGAGGCTAGAGTTGACCTTGTTTTGATACAGACCTCANCATTTACATGACAAAAGCAGTGAGGTCTGTATCAAAACAAGGTCAACTCTAGCCTCGCTGCCATACAAAGGCCAGGTCACTGAGCAGACAACTGTAAAGTGGTCTATTAACATGATGCTAGCTGTATTGTATCTACGACTGCAGATAACGGACTGAACAGTGAAAGTTTTGTGCACCAAGCAAAGCTCCTGAAGAAACTGGTTCATACATGAAACTGAAAACTGCTCTCAAGGCTGGTTTTCCACTGATTTGCCGTCAGCGGCATACAGTATTCAGCGAATACGGTGTTTTGAGTAATCAGCAAACCCTGAGGGTCAAATGTATCTCAAGGTGACTTTTTTATACACAGTTTACGATATATAAAAATAAAGCTTCTAGCTTTCCAAAAATTTAATTTAATAATGAACACGGATGCACCATTGATCACTCTCCCATGGAATCGTGTCAATGCTATCTAACATATTTAGAATATTGAATCCAATAAAACAATGCTCAAAATGTCAAAAAAAAACATATTTCCTGGAAGATATTAACAAATAAAATTATAACTTTTGTATCTTTTTGGTCCAAAAAAGTTCAAACTCGATGGCATATTGCAGACACTAATTGTCAACAATCGCATGATTTTACAATAACTGTCTAATTTCTCGCTCGCTGATTGGCTCATTTTTAACATCAATAAGAGTACAGACGGATAAAATTATAATTTATGCAAGCTTTCATCAGTTCAATTTTCAGCTGTCGAGCTGTCAACTTTTTAACCAATGGGATTTATTGACTTTTTAAGTAGCCAATCAAAAAGCGAGAAAAGCTATTGACAATGTTCACGTCATTTTGAATAAAACTCACATATCTTTGTTTACGGAGAGTTTACGGCGTCTTTTCCCTCATTTATTCCCGGCATTTGACCATTTTGGGGTCTTGTTAGTGTAAAAAACAAATTGGTGTCAGTTCTTTATGCGTCTGTCCTATTATTGATGATAAATTGCGTCATAACATTGTCAAAGTTTACTGCGGAACCACTCGCCTGCGGCTCGTGGTTCCACAGCCACTTCGACAATGTTATGACGCAATTTATCATCAATGAGAGGACAGACGCATAAAAAACTAACGTCAATTTGTTAGTTTTTGGCGAGAAAATGACATCATACAGGTAATGGCGGGATTCATTTCACCTAATCACAACGATACTTATCCACGAGTTTTGAAAGAAGGCGTTCTCAGACAATTCGATGGATGAAAAAATAACCGAAAATTTGCGCGAAAATAAAAATAAGTGGCGAGAGAAGCTAGGATCTACACAGATTTTAAGCCAATCATGTAAGAAACACAATACTAGTATCAGCGTAAAACACCAACCATAAATGCCTGAAATAGTTTTTCAAGTAAAACCTGAATAGGAAACATCCCTAAAAATAGCTCAGTCTAGATCTAGACGTAATGCTGAACAAAAGATCACAAGGCTCAGATCATGAGACGCGTGTGTTCCTACTCATGGGCTCCTGGTACTAAAATATCAAATCTGCTATGTAAGCTAATTCAAAAATTTTAGATTAAACAAAAAAATAGTTTTATTGTGCAGCGTTGAGAAAATTTCCCTCCGTCTATGTTTGAACTGCGCTTTCCTTGGCAAATATTATTTATTGCTTCATTTGGTCTATCTTGAAACATTGCGACTGTCTAGAGCTTTATAAGATTACTTTCATTTTACCATGAACCAATCTATGTTCATTGCAAATTTATTTCGTCATAGTACGCCTTGAAAGTTGTCATTGCTTCGCCTTTTGGGTTATAAAGAAAAATAGTTAAACGAATTCCGAAATGGCGGCAGTCTCGATAAAAATTTTACCAGGCCTTTTAAAACCGACAAAATGTCCGAATGGTGGACAGCTGTTCTAATAACGAGAACAATAAGGTATTAACATAAATTAATGTCTAGTTTATGAATTGATTAGTTATTTTATTATCTTGTGAACTTACCATTTCAGATGTCCTTATTATCGTGATGACAGTTTAATAACCACTGAATCACTGCGAAAAGAAAAAATGTAGTTAATAAGATATACTCATGAGCAGTTGTTTGTATCATTGCATGTTTGATCAGTGACCTGTTTTAACATGGCGTCAACATAAGAAGGTCGGAAGAGCCAGTTGCCAGCTGCAGACTAAATAGAAGATGCCTTTATGGACCATTTTCTAAACTTGTATTATTTTATTCTCCAAGTCAATAACTGTGATCGTGTATTTCCATGGAAACTGGTGTCGCACAAACATCATATCCTATTTTTATCCAAAATGAAGATTTTCCATACTGGATACCAACCTGGCTCTTGAAATCCATATCTTAAGCTGGCTCATCACTGTTTCTAATCACTGTTGTTTATCTTTTGAGGGACCTCTGTCACGGTATTTTGAGTCATTTTGATCACATACAAAATTACCTTTAAATGGTAGGAAACCTGAAAATAACAGTTTAATAAAATAGAAAAACACCAAAGAGATCATGATAAACCATAAAGGAACAAAGATGGCTGAGGATGGAGAAGATTGACACGGATTACAAACGACGAATTTGAAAAATTGAGACTAAACTTTTCAATATGCGCAAATCGTGACTGAGCTCCTTTAACTCTTGATTTATACTGCGTACAATGAACGGCAATTGACTGCCACCTTAATATTTTGAAAATTGTAAAAGCGCTAAAAATGATAGTACTTTGGTCCACCTGCGCCGTTGACATGGTAACCACTTACGTAATGATGATAACACTGCAAATTTAGGATCAAATCTTATTACAGACTGTGGTATTTTAACAAAGAGCGGGATCTCTATTTTCACTTCATTAGGTAATTACGTGCAGTGTGATAATTCCTTTGTCAAAATGAAAGTCATACAAATGTACCGAAAATAGGTCAAGGGGGCAATGAATCATATCAAAACCCATATCCTTTGGGATGGGAGGGGATTGTTGTACGTTATCTTAAGTATTCCTATCACGGCCATGAATTTAATCACTTTGAACCTAATGTTCCCTGTTTTTACCACGTACCTATGTTCTCATAAGATTATTTTCGTAATACGTCAACAGATGTAAATGAAAACAATTTAACACGTACCATCAACCGAGTGTACTCTACAATGTTGTTTGAAAGTTTTACACCTAATGTAAGAAAAACAAACCAAAATGAGTCGCTAAGATTACATCATGACTAAATACAGTGAAGGATTTCTACCAAATTATGTATGATCCAATACTCAACATACGATCCCTGCCATTTTGGGCATCACAGAGTTGAGTTACGCCTTTTCGACTGCTTATTTTTAAACAAAAGCCGAAAAAAACACACGAAAACATCATAAAAAAATATTTTTGGAGCCAAAGCATAACAAGGCGTGTATAAATCCCAAAGCGGAAATTGACGAACAGAGGACAAATATCTGCCAGGTTTTGTCAAAGGTGGAAAATATTCTATTACTGTATAATACCCTCTCTTTCTCTCTCTCTCTTTTCGAATAAGCTCCCCCGATCCGAACGTCACCTAATACTACGTTTCTCCCCCACCCCCAACCCCTCGAACATTAAACCAACGGGTACGAACTTGGCAATTAAAGAAAGTACACCTTCTTCCAACAAAGGCCCTCTATTGAAGACATTATGCGTAATTTATACTGTAAAATATTTTTGACATTCACTTAACGACTGTAGTTATTTTCTGCTTCATATTACGTCTTGAACGTTCTAGCAACTACCATGCGCTGTACTAGCTTCTCTCATTTTTTCTATGTTGTTTTCATATGCGACATCAATTGCAAATATAACCCAAAAATGTTTAGAGACACAAAATCCCTTACGATTAAAGACCCCTTCGAAAAGGCGTTTAAACAAATACAAGCATCAAGGACTTATTTTAGAAATTTTACTGTACAATCGTCTCAAATTTAACGCTGATATGATTGAATTTATAGCCTTCAATGCGATTGTTAATGTCGTACCTTTTGAAACGTTCGCTGCAGATCGAGCTTGAAATTTCATCTTTAAAAGCCGTCGTTCACAATCCACCTGAATAAAAAGAGATTTAAATTTTCATAAAAATGTCCGTTTACCTCAATTATACATTCAAGTTTGCGAGCTATACATTCACAATGTCAGTCTTCTAGTGACCGATCAGAAAGCGTCAAAAGCTTGCACTCAGAACAAATATTAATCGGTTTACAAGTTAGTCCTATAATTCTACCAGCCTAAGAAATATCCTACAAAGACCTTACAGCAATATCAGTAAGAGAGAATTAGCTTTACTCGGAACCTCCAGAATTAAACACGTGTATCTTACCTTCAGGTCCGTTAACTCTGGATGTACCCCTTGTTACGGTCTCGGAATCCATATTTTGCTTCTGAACATATCTACTTTCCTTAACTTACACCGGTCTTCTGTTTTACCAGCTTTGAGCAGCGAAGTTTCTCTTATTGGCGGACACAGAAACGAACGAACAACGAAGGTTAAAGCCGAGCAAGCAAGACTTGCAATGAATAATTATCTGTTTAATAGTGTGCTCTTTGAATTAAATTTGCAATTTAAATTTGTAATCCTGATTAGTTTCGCGCCATAACCAACAACAGCATCGAATTAGACAGTTATTTTGGCGACTCACATATATTGGACAATGATAGAAGTCTAATCCGGATAACTGATCCCTATGATGGAAGCCGGGAGAGGCCGGACAGGGGCGGGGGGNGGTGGGGAGGGGTTGATCCACACTGGCAGGAGGGAAATGCAATTAAACAATAAAGTACAAAAAGCAGTGGCTTCAGCATTTTAATCCATGGTTGTATAATTATTTCCTTTTTAAGAAAATGTTCAGAATAACAATAACTAAATGAAAACAGTCTTTTGGTAAGATAACTGCGCTATGAAATTCATCAGTTATAAAGTAGCAGACATCAGCAATGACTAACTGTCAGTTACCTGTCAAATAAAAAGACTGAGCAAGTTGATAAATGACTCGCTAGAACTTTTCAATCATATAAGTTCCTCAGTTCATTGTGTATCTTTTCCTCAGTTGGTAGTAATAAGTGAAAGTTCGAAGTGATAAATCCGGCATTTTACTGGTAGTACAAGAGCAGTATTTTTGAGATATTGATTAGCCACCTTGAACAGGTCATATATACATTACGCACACTTCCTTCACAGGAATTAAAACTAATCACAAAGTTTCCTGAACACTCACAGGGGACTGCATGCATGAGACTCGGATCCCCCACAGCCTCCCTCCCTTCACCCCTCAGGCTCAGTTAATTAATGCTGTGTCCGCACTCTCTTAGATACCAGAAGATTTTCTGTGGCGTGCGTCGGAATTGGCCGAAGCCCGAGCGTCGTTGGCCGAAGGTGTACGAAACGAGCGCGAGGCTCGTAAAAGAGTCCTCAGAACAACTGATCGGAAAAGATCGGTTGTACGTTACTTCTTACTTTAATCCTCTGTGCTAAGTAACACATAAGGCCGTAATCGTTAGTGACATATGGGCAATTGTTGTTATCGTCTTACGGAAAAATTCTTCCGGTCTGAATATGTGTTAAAATACTTTATTATGGCGGGCGATCTGTAAAAACTACTGTGTGGCGACATTCAATAATAACTTGGTAATAACTTTGGTGCACAAACCTTCGAAATCATAATTGTTTTGCATTGTTTTTGCAGTGTCGTATGACTACGTCCCATGAAAACCGACAATATAACAAAATGAAAGTTACAAATGAATACATGAAAGATCATGTATTTGAACTGCGGAGAAAGATATGAAGACATGATTGATCATAATAAGAATAATCACTTTATTTAAGTGTCGATGTATTTAGCACTAATGTGCTAATTGGGGACACTGTAAATAAATANAGGGCGAAAAACCACAGCGCCCTAAACCACTCGGCCACGCCGCCTCCCTTGTTATACACAAAACTTAAGCAGTTATCTTTCTCCGCAGTTCAAATATATGATCTTTCATATATTCACTTGCATTCTTCACCATCTACGGGTACATTACGGACTCACATACTGACCAGCTACCAGATGGCTTGATAGCTCAGTTGGTAGAGCACTGCACCGGTGTCGCAGAGGTCATGGGTTCGAATCCCGTTCAGGCCTGAATTTTTTTCAGGCTTTACTTTCACAACTGCTTAAGTTGTGTGTATAACTGCGATGATCAATCATATCTTCAAAAAGAAAATTACACGGTGGCTTGAAGTTACGAATTTTATTTTCTCGTCTTAAAAACAATATTTTAATCACTGGCTGCGCTCGTTCCTAAAATATTGTTTTTACCACTAGAAAATAAAACTCATATCTTCTCGTCGTCGTGCAATATCCTCCGTATCTCGCTCTTAGAGGAAACAGATCTTAATTAACAGACATTGGTCCTGAAAAGCCCCAGTGGGGAGTGGCCAATTAAGTATACATTTTTTTAAACATGTTTGGACTGCCGGAAATGACCGCCATGGATTCTGTTGTAATAGTTTGGTAGTACTTTGTTTGGATCTCTTAAAAGCTCCGGGGACCGAGAGGAACCAAGAGAAGATCAAAATTTCCCGACTGAAACTTTTTTGGCTGATTTAGATGACCTTGTTTGCCGCATCTTGCGAGAGATCTTGCATTTCTTCAAAGATTCGTGACGGAAAGCCATAACATAGTGTATCCAACTTTGTAGTTTTTCAATTCTAACTTTTACTTAAGCTGCTCAACCAGATTTAAGTCAGCTAGTTTTGATCATGAAAAGAATCGAAGCAAAGAACAATCGAACCAGCGCTGTGCATTTCCTAAAATGAATAGCGGTCACGTCTGCAAACAAAATGACGTCACCGATACAGTTATTGTTTTCTGGACCACGCCTAGTATTTTCAATCAGCTTTGTACCAAAATTGTACCAGTGATTGGGAATAGATTGAAGTTTTACAAAATGCAATTTTTCAAGGTAATCTATATTTCTATGCGTAGAAACGATCGATATACACAGGGACTCAAAATCGTATTGAATTTTGCGCGAACTAGATTTGCCGTAAGAAGATACTACCGATATCTTAAACTACGAAATATGAATATACGAAAAATCTAGTATAATTTTGGGATTATTTTTCAGCACTTTTCATCTTAAGGGCCCATTAACCGATCTTTTCAAGCCGTTGCT